TTTTCCCCCTTTTTTTTTTTTTTTCATTATATATATATATATCACATATCTTATATAATATATTATATTATATATATATATAACAGAGGAGGGAGAGAAGTATCGGGTGAGAGCAAAGCAGGAGTCGGGCTAGGGCAGAGGTCGGAGGTCACGCACGGCGGTGGGTTCGGCGGCTGGTCGGCGACGGAGGCGGCGGAGGCGGCAGGCGGTCGGCGGCCTAGGGTCGACTCAGACGGAAGGATAGGATTAGGAGTTCTGGAGGCCGGCGGGCTCGGCGGCTGGTCGCAAGCTTGGATCGTTGGATGGAGTCGGCCGGAACAGAAGAAGGAAGCACAAACGGGAGAGAGGTAAGTCGCTCAATTCCTTGCTTGCGATTCCTTGCGGTTTCCAGAGTTTCTGTATGCGTGTCAATGTGCGTAAAACGTCCGAATGAGAGGGAGCGTTGTTTTATTTCGTGAGAGAGGCGGTGGTTGAATCGTCGTGAGGTGGGACCGGCAGAGGCGGTTGCGTCGTTCCGTTTAGGTATGTCGGTGGAACGGTTACAGTCAACAATACAAAGGTGGAACGGTTACAGTCAACAATACAAAGACTCGATTGTGGTCGTAGATCGGCGGCCACGCCTCTGATTAACCTTCCACGAGTTGATGTCCCTATCAGATAATGATACATATCAATTTTCAAAATTGTTTGATTAAATTTGGATTTAAATTTAATTCATTTTAGATAATTCCTACAAGAATAACCATTTTTATTAAACTTATTTTGGTTTGTTTTTATGATAGGAATCCTTTCTTTGTGGGGTTAATTTGGGTGTGGATAAAAACCATTTCTCTATTATAATTGGCTATAAATAGGTTTGAAATTTAGCAGAAAAATCAGTGAGAACTATCCTATTCTATCCTTGCGTGGGCAACCCATAACCCCTTGAGTCTTAGTATTGGGAATGCCAAAACCTTCCTACTTCACCTTTTTCTGCAGTGTGTTTGCTGGGCTATTTTTTATTGGTTCTTACTTTGTTTGACTGGGTTGCTTTTGTTTGCTGCATGCTTTTGGCGTGTGCTGTCCTGCTGTTCTGCCCTCTACTGCTAGTTTGCTACTGGTTGTTGCTGCTGTGTTAATTACTGTAGTGCTTTCACTATTTAGCCGCTGCATGTGTGCTTGCGCTTTCATATATTACCAGTCAAGGTAATAGCAATCTGTTTTGCTGATTCCTAGCAATCCAGTTTACAAAAATAGAAAAAAACTTAAAAAAAGAATAGAAAAGTAGTAAAAAAACTATTGTAATTTTATTGCAATGTATTTGTTCAAGAATTAACTGTTTATATAGACTTTTCAGTAAGTATATTATAAGGAAAATAATCAAAGCAATTCTCACTAAACGCAATACAATAAATAAATAATCTCATAGGGGCCAACAGTTGCGATGTACGCATCATTGGGTGGCAAAGGTTTTAATTCATGTGATTTGAAGCATAAAAACTGATTGTTTGGAAGGCTGTTGATTTGGAAAGAGATTGGGTGTGGGTAGAGGGTCATTCCTAGAAAGTATATTAGATTGAAAGATGGGATACTACACAAAGATTTCACCCTCATTTTACAAGAACTTTATGGTCTGAAGAAGGCTGATGATTTGGGAAGAGATTGGGTGTGGGTAGAGGGTCATTCCTAGAAAGTATATTAGATTGAAAGATGGGATACTACACAAAGATTTCACCCTCATTTTACAAGAACTTTATGGTCTGAATTCAGGTTTTCTTAATGGTGCAAGCTTCTATGATTAATTACCCTTCCTATGATGAGATCATGAGAGAAAACTTTCGATTAAGGCAAGTCATTAGATAGACCCTAGTTACCAAATGTATAGTAGTAACAAATTTAATATAGAATTAAAAAAATTAAAAAAAATTAAAAAAAATTAAAAAAAATTAAAAAATAAATTAAAAATAAAGTAAAAAATAAAATAAAATAAAAAAACAAATTTAATATAGAATTTGGTGTTGGGATTTGACACTTATCTCCTTGCGCTTAAAGTAGATGATATGAGAAATAATAATGAACTCGATCAAGATCTCATTATTCCATCGTCCTGATTTGTCCAGCTCCCTAGCCTACTTTGTCAGAGAAGGTAGTCGACCCAACCATACCATAGAATCCTTGTTGGAAGTTATGACTTTGTTTCGTCTAAGTTTACCTTGAAGTCCTGGGGTGGTTTTCCCTTTGTTTACCACCTTGTGGTGACCCCCGTATTAGAACCCATGTGGGGGTGACCTAGATCATGTTGAGTAGCCAGGGGTTACCAACTGCTTCAATCGCCAACTTGCCGCCTCAACACCAATGGCTTTTAGTAGCTTGATGGTACCTATGAGATAGTTTACTGGTCATTATGGCCCCATCTAGTGGGGAAGAGGAGATCACCCCAACGGATTTGTGTTCTAATAAAATACTTTCCCACTGTTAATGACGAGAATAGTAGTCCGATGGTTCTCCATCTTGAAGGACTAGTCCTGGTGATGAAAACTAATTTGGATGACCTTCTCGATAAGTACCTATGCCTGCAGCTAGCCTAGCTGCAAGTATAAGGTTGATGACCATCTTGAATAGTTCAATTCAAGTTGGGACTAACCTGCTTTGGGCCTGTTTGCCTTTTTTCGGCCCTGTCCTCACAGAAGTAGTAGCCGTGGAAGTTTGTGGTTGGTTGGCCCGGTGATGAGCATCCATGGTATTTTGCCACCATATTTAATATAATATTTATAGAAAGTTATTTTTCTGATTTATTAGTTTAAATCTCTTGCATTCTGGTTTTTAGTTACTGTATGAGTCGACAAGTCCTTCATTACTTCACAGTTTTATCTCTCATTATTTTAGTTCTTTCTTCTTTGAGTACATAAAAAGGTTCAAGATTCTCAAGGGCTAAGGCTTCTAATAAACAATTAGTTTCTAAAAGATAAATTCATTATAACTGCTGATCCATCAGGAAACCTAACTTGAATGATGAATAATTTTGAGGAAAGGAAATAATAGGTGTAATTTTAATTTTGTCCATTCTCCATCTATAATTCTGGAATCATGATCTACACCTTTGTCATGGCTAATTTCTGTCTCCTGGCTGCTAATATTGCTAGCAACATCATTTCATTGATTTGATGTAATTATTACCATCGTCTTTATAACAGGCTAGAACCGATATGTTTGTGCTCTTTATTTTTTTGTAACTAATATAAACTCCGGCTTACATATCTGTTCCCATCAAGAAATATTTGGATAAGAAAGACAACAAATTATCGATAGCTAATTCGTTTAGGCATGCTCAATACTGTTACAGGGACCTATTTCTTTGAGCATTGCAAAATGAGAATATATATATATATATTATTTATTTTTATTTATGCTTATTTGCTTTTTCTTGCTTCTGCAATAACATTACTCCTAGTTTTGCATGAGGATTTACAGATGTCTGGAAGGGCTGGTCGTCCACCATTTGATGACACTGGAGTGGTTGTAATAATGACCAGGAGAGCAACAGTAAGTTTCATTTTGAAATTTACTTTGCAATCTGAATGAGTTCGGTGTATTGGATTTTATTGTGTTCTGTAACTGTTGTCTGATGGTCTTTTGCCTGTTCTGTAGGTCCATTTGTATGAAAATCTCTTAAATGGTTGTGAAATGGTTGAATCTCAGTAAGATTGTTATACTTCTACTAATTGGGATTATATCTTACGAATTGTCAATTATTTCAGTCTTTATGAAGCTTATATTCTGCAATTCATCTGTTTTCTGTAATAATTTAATTTATATGATAGGCTACTATCATGTGCGATGGAACATCTTACAGCTGAGATTGTTCAACTGACCGTTTCCGACATAAGTTTAGCTATAGAGTGGCTAAAATGCTCCTACTTATATGTTCGGATTAAGAAGGCATGCAGTTGTTTTCCTATATATTTGCTCTCAGTTTCATTTGCTGCCTGGTACCTGATCTGTCAAACATGCACAGAATCCTGAGAACTATGGAATAAAGAGAGGAATTCCTCATCAAAACCTAGAAATGTACATGCGAGGTATTCTGAAGGGAAAAAAATTGTCAAAATATCCTTGTACGAATTGTATGAAAATGGAGTTAAAGGTCATTGGATTTTACTTTGAGGTTATTACAATGCAAAAATTTCATATATAACACTAATCTGAAAACAAATTCGATTACTTTTTAAGCCCATCCAAGTATAATTTGTGTTGGGATATCCTGGATTTTTTTTTTTTTTTTCATTTTGAAGTAGTTAAACAATTTGATCCTGGCATAATGTATAATTTCTCGGATTACTTTTTTGGATCTCTTATTACCAGAAATATGCGTTCAGAATATTAATGAATTAGCAGAATACGGGATGATTTGGACGGATGAAGACGGCTTCCTTGTTAAGCCATTAGGTACGTTGTTTAACATTATTATGTTGTTTTCTTTTAGGATTGTGAATGGTTCTCCTTGCTCGTTTCATGAATTGTATTCAATGCAGAACCTGGAAGGTTAATGACGAAATTCTATTTAAAATTTGCTACAATGAAAAGTATCATGGACGCTCCTGGAAGTTGCAGTTTAGAAGATGCACTGCGTATTATTTGTGCCTCTGAAGAGATTTCTTGTATGTTTCTTTTCTATTAGTTTGTGCTAATGTTCTTATATGTTTTAAATGATGATACTATGCTCTTAAAAATACAGGGATCCAGCTTCGACGCAATGAGAAGAAGCTTTTGAATGACATTAACTTTGATAAAGGAGCTCGATTGCGCTTTCATGTCTTTGGAGAGAATGGAAAGAAAAAGAAACGCATCCAGACAAGGGAGGAGAAGATATTTGTGCTGGCTAATGACTGCCTGATGGGTGATCCTTCGGTCCATGATCTATCCCTCAACCAGGTCTTGTCTTCTATTAAGTTTAGTAGTCAAATTTTTCGGTGCCAATGATATAGATATGACACAACACGTTCACAGTGACACAATATAGTTGTAAAACATATGGCATGATGCCATGAACACAATGTTATATTTTATAACTTATTCATATAAAATATGTAATTTATAGTATTTTTTACTAAAATCATCTTCCGGTGAAGTATGCTAATATATGTATATACTTCGCATAAAAGTATAATCATAACTAAAGGAAAAAAAATACCATCAATGATAAGCCGTAAGCGAAATGCTTTCTCACATTTTACAATTGTCACTTGTTAACAATACAATAAAATTGGCATTCATTAATCATTTTGTTAAATATTTTTATAATTAATAATATCTCACAGGTGTTTTCTCTCACACACATGTCCTTATGGCATGTCGAGAATTGTATAGATCATATCAAGCTGTATTTGACGTAAAATTATTCTGTGAGGAAGCGGAACCCCGTCAGGATGCCTAAACCCGGAATTTTTATTGCCTCAGGTTACCTGACGTAGAGATACATCAGATAGCCTATAATATATCGCCACGTGCTCTTACTCTTTACCGCGCGGCCCGACGACCCAACCTGAAACGAATCCGGGATTACTATGTTCGCGTATTGCTCGGTATTGCTAGGTACTACTCGTTATTTGCTCGGTATTGCTCGGTATTTGCTCGGTACTTGCTAGGTATTTGCTCGGTATTGCTAGGTACTACTCGTTATTTGCTCGGTTTTTGCTCGGTACTTGCTCGGTAATGCTCGGTATTTGCTGGTTGAGTTCTGTTGCACACAGGAGAGCTTCTTCCTCCCTCTGGTATGGTCGAACGGACGTCAGAAACGAACTTATATGATGGCTGGTGTCGGAGCGTTCCCGTCTCTGATATCCACCGCTCCGGTTTGAATTATGACAATCCTTACCCCAGACTTTCTCTTTCTTTCCCCTAAACTTCCCATTTCCTTGTGCAGTCCTTCCCCTTCTGCGCACTCTTCTTCTTTGGCGTTGCCCTTCCTCATTTCTATGGCTGCGTGCTCCCCCATTGCCGATTGTTGTTGATGTTGGCTGCCACCTTCTTTCTTTCCCATTATTCATCGGCTGCTTTGTGCTCGAAAGGGACCGGGGGGAAGAGGCGGAGGGATTCAAATAGAGCAGCTTGGAGGTAAACGAGGCGTGTAAGATCAGAGAAAACAGAGAGTTCATCGAGGATTTTGGACTCTACGGAGGGGTGGTGGGAGAGAAGGTAGAAAAACCAAGTGAGGGCAGAGCTTGTGGTGTCGCGCCCGGCAACCATGAAGTTGAGGCGGGCAAATACCGAGCAAATACCGAGCATTATCGAGCAAGTACCGAGCAAATACCGAGCAATACCGAGCAAATACCGAGAAATACGCGAACATAATAATCCCGGATTCGTTCCGGGTTGGGTCGTCGGGCCGCGCAGTAAAGAGTAAGAGCACGTGGCGATATATTATAGGCTATCTGATGTATCTATACGTCAGGTAACCTGAGGCAATAAAAATTCCTAAACCCACGGCTCGGTTCTGCGGTAGCGAGTGTTGATACCGCTCGGTACTACGGCTCAGTATAGCTGACGTGGCTCATTTTGATTGATATCCGAATGTAGAGTTGTGTTTGATGTCCGCACAGAACATTCTCTCGTATTTGACATATTTCAAAACCTGATTTTTTTTTGTTTAAGATCTTTTGACATAATTTTGAGTATGTAGGATGTTGCTAGGGTGTGTTAGAGGTGTGTCATATCCAACACATGTACGAAAGTATTTGGAAATGCCCGTGCTTCTATCAAGTCCTGAAAACAGTGAATATTTTCGCAGGACATGAACTCAATATGCACCAATGGCTGTAGGATTGCCAAATGCATGAAAGAGTGTTTTATCTTCAGGAGGAGTTATAAGGGAGCTCTGAGTTCATCGCTTCTGGCCAAATGTTTGCACCAGAGGCTCTGGGATGATAGTCCCTACTTGCTGAAACAACTACCTGGCATTGGGATGGTCACCGCTAAGGTTTTTCTTAATCGACTTTTATATAGACTTCCGCTCTAACTGGATTGAGGCTTCTTTTGGGACGGCTTTTTTATTGCTTCTTAAAGCGGCTTTCTAGTACAAAAACTTGAACTTTTTAACTAAAAGGCCACTTTAAGAAGCAGGAAGAAAGTCGTCCCAAACGAAGCCTAAATCTGATGTCATCGATTCTGTCCGCAGGCTCTGCATTCAGCAGGAATTAATTCATTCGACAAAATGTTAGAAGCTGATCCAAGAAAAATCGAACTAATAACAGGCCGCAAGTACCCATTTGGTAACCATATAAAAGAATCCCTCTCATCCCTTCCTCCAAAAGTTGAGATGCGTGTAGAGGAGACCGAGTACAAAAGGCAATGCAAATCAAAGTTGCTAATAACGTTGACCCGTTTAACTAGACGCATTACATCAAGCAAACATCATTATGCCGATCTGGTATTATCTTCTAAATTTATGGAAAAAGCTTCTATATTCCCCTTCCTACCATCTAATTATCTTGAACGTGACATAGTCAAAGTTCTCGTCTCCTACAGGTTGTTGGCTCGGAAGAGGACAATGCAATCCTGTATCATGAGAAAATAAGGTAAAATAATATTAGAAATCAAGTCAATAGCCTAGGTGACTGTTCTGTGCCATGGGCCTTTTCTCACTTTTTTCGTCGATATTGTACAACAGAACTGAAGAGTTTTCCAGGTATGATATGTTTTTTTGCTCAGAAATATACTGCTTTCATTCAAAACCATATTGAATTTGCAAATGCTGAAGTTTTCATTCACTCTTTTGTTCTGTTAAGATCAGTTTAGGTGTTAAATATGTATTTTTTTACATACATAACACCTAAAACTATTGAAAATACATATTTAACACCTAAACTTCTATATTTACTAATATACCACCTAAAATCTCATTTTCCTTCTATTCTACCACTCCATTGAAGCGATGAGATACTTATATTCACTATGAAAGAATGCCATTGACGGGGAAGACAATCATTGGTAGTGATTTTTGACGGAAGGTTTAAACGGAATGTTAGAATTGATTAAAAGAGGGGTTTTAGGTGATATATTACTAAATATAGAAGTGTAGGTGTTAAATATATATTTTCAATAGTTTTGATGTTATGCATGTAAAAATCCCTTGTCAAATCTCATCTTTTGAATCCCAAAAACCCTCACCTCGTACCTTGCCACGTCGCTGAGGTCCATCCAGTCCTGGTCGAAATCTTTGGATATAATAATATAGCCTCTAAAAAGGCCCGCACAACACTCTTCACCCTAATCTCTGACGGGTCACTTAACATGTTTGATATGGCAGCCCTTACGTTGCCAATGTTCTTGTTCCATGCCCGAGCTTTGGAAGAGTAACTGTGAAAGCTGATCTTATATTTGAAAATTACGGTAAGACCACGAACTTCTGTTAGTCTATATATTGATTTTTGGGTATTTATATTCAGCTCCGTTTGGGACAGCTTTTTTACTGTTTCTTAAAACAGCTTTCTAGTTAAAAAAATTAAAACTTTTGTACTAAAAAGATGATTTAAGAAACATTAAAAAAGCCGTCCCAAACGAACCCTTCATCTTACTGATTTACTATTCCTCTTCTTGGTGTTTATATCATGAAGTTGGTCTGGATGTGCATGAGAAGCATGTTATTTCCCGGGAAGCAAGTTCAGATATAACTAACGCTGGCAGAAATGAAGTTCGGCCATCTAATTATACCATTCCAAAGGAGATCTACTCCAAAAATGATGGTAAGACGAGAAACCTATTGGACAAAACTGAAGATAACCAGGAATTTGCAAACTCTGAGAGGCCGTCCACTTCCTTGTATGTATTCTATTTCTCTCCTTGTTTGTAGAATATATTATGTCCTTTCGTAACACCTTGAGAACACCATTTATTTCATTGCCTCAGGCCAAGCTTTGATCTTTTACAAAATGAAATGAATGAAGGCAAGATTCAGCTACTTTATAATATATCCGAACCCCAACACAGTTTTTTTTCCCTCTAAATTAGACTTGTACTTCAAATTTTAATGACAGATTTAGTCATTCTTGAACCTGAAAAAATGGAAAGCAAACCTAAGGTGGATGAAGCAATATTTGATCATATCCGTAGAAAATCAAAATCCTTCCCTGATCTCATGACATTGAAAACCATAGATCCCTCTCACCAAGCACTGATTCTAGCAGAAGTATACGCCTCCATGGAGCAATCTGGGCTTGATTCCATTAAAACTCAGGAAGATATAGTGGTTCTGACAGATTCAGAGCCACTTGATATGAGTAAACATCAAGAAGATGGTGTGGTTCTGATGGACAAAGAGCAAATTGATACTTTTACCGAATCTGAGAATGCTGGAAAATATTTCCTGGAGTCTAATATCCACAATATTGACAGAAACAAAAGATTCACTAACAGTGGCAACTTTACAAATAACCAGTTGAAAAAAAGGAAACTAGCTGATGACTGGATTAATGATATCATGGTGAAGGAATGCAAAAGAAACAGGTCTGATCACTTAAGTGACACTTCTACTACGGCAGATTTCAGAAATCAAATAAAATCTGTAGGGCCAAAGAGTTCTATGGACCTGCAAGATGGCCAACAATTCAGCTGCATGGGAGCAGCACCTGGTGGTTCCATGGATGTTTCCTTCCTGGGCTTCAAAAGTGTATTCTCCTTTCTTTGATCCAAAGAAAAAAAAAATGGCGGATTATCTGCTGAAGTTCTTGATTCAATTGAATGTGCAAAGACGGGAGCTTGGCTTCGAAGAATTAATACTTGGTAAGCTTCAGGTTATGCATAACAATTCTTGTCTGAAGAACACTAAGATTCACTTAGTTTGTTTCAAAAGAAAAGAGAAAAAAAAGCTCTGGATGTCCTAAATAAATTTTTGATCCGGGCGAGTTTAAAATCTATTGGATTTGCATCAAAATTAGTGCAATATAAAGTTTGATTTTATGCTTATATTGCATTTGTTTTTAAGAAAATTTAATAGTTTTAAAATGTAATAATCATAACCTCTAATTGAACAACATTAATAAACCATGTCCTTTTATAAGTAAATTTTTTAGGCTAAACTATTGTGAATTATTTATCCTAAGTAATCTTCTTAATTCTTATTGCTTTCAAATAAATCATTTTTTTTTACATTTAGGCTAATTAATGCAAACTTAAATGCACATAACGTATGTAAGACTCGAACCCAAGACTTTTTGATTGGCAACAAAAGTTTTTAACCAATAGATCAAAATGAGTTGTGTCAAATAAATCATTCGAAAAGAAGGAAGCGGTAGAATGAACAATATATATAAATAATAAGCTCATAAATGAGTAGAGAAACATATCATTGTGGCAAATCATGGAGGTCAATAGGTATTCGGATTTGAATGATCAATGAAATAAAACATCCACTTCAACGAGCTTCTTCATTTTGATGGCCACCTATTCAATTTCTATTTTCATCATACTAACAAAGATTTTTTTTTTTTAGAGCAAGATTGAGCATCTCATTTCTAATACCCAATGAAAGAAAAGCTGAGTATTTTAATTTCATGAATTAATAATGATATATTATGTAGATTATCCTTAGCTTCAATAAATTTTTTTTTTTTATAATTTTTCAAAAATCATAACCTCCCTTAACCAAAACTCTGACTAGTCAACCAATTCAAATGATCATCAAACACACCACCTTCATGGTCATGGCCACCACACCAAAAATAAAGGGGATTTTTACATACATAACACCTAAAACATTTGAAAATACATATTTAACACCGAAATTTCTATATTTACTAATATACCACCTAAAATCCTCTTTTAATCAATTCTAAAATTCCGTTTAAACCTTCCGTCAAAAATCAATATCAGTAGTTGTCTTCCCATCAATTGCATCCTTTCACAGTGAATACAAGTAGCTCATCGCTTCAATGGAGGGATAGAATAGAAGGAAAGGAGGATTTTAGGTAGTATATTAGTAAATATAGAAGTTTAGAGGTTAAATATGTATTTTCAATAGTTTTAGATGTTATGCATGTAAAAATTCTTAAAAAGACTCATAGGACTATAATATAAAGTAACTAATTTTCAAATTATATAAAATCTTAACATAGTTATGATCTTCTCCAATTTTTTATGTATTATTTTATTAAAACCATGTGTTTTTTATTCTTCCGTGAAAGGAAAGAATATTATTTTTGTTTAATAAATTCAGTTTGATATTCATCTCTAATTAAAAAAACTAAAAAAAAAGAGAGCAATTTTTTAATGAATTTGATTAGTTAATATATAGTGTGGGGATTAAGAGGACTCGGGAGATTAACGAGTTATATTTGCCTCAGTGCTTTCCCAATGCGACAAAAATTCCTCTCGGCCTTTTCAGTCTCCAGCACAGTTGTCTGCATCGAACTTCGAGGTTCTTTTTGGCTTGTCTATTATTTATATAACGAATTAATAATAGTGACGATGGATGGGTTTAACGGCTAGGATTCAATATTTTTAAAAGATGCGATGTAGCATAGATGGAGTCGCTGTTAAAAGGAAAGGTCATCATCGAATCACTTGTGAAGGCAAATAATCATAACTATTATTTTAATTATGTAAAAAGGCTTATTTTTAGAAGTAATATCTCTCTAAAAATATATCTAAATGTAATTAATTTAAAGGTAGTGAAATTTCTATTTTCTCTGTTAAAAAAAAACAATATATCTTATTTTTTGTAGCATCAATTCTTTTCTTTTCTTATGAATTATTATTGGTACATCATCAAAAATTACTTATTTTGGTTATATATATATCGGGGAAAAATCTCGAGTCATAGTTGAATTAAAAAATTTTTGAAGTTAAATTGTGGATGAACTCTAATTTCATCAAATTTAGTGTCAAATAAAATATCTTGAAGATATGAATCCAATAGTGCTAAAAGTGGCTCAATCTAAGCCTGAGTGTGCCCAAATAAAAGGTCTGATGAAGGGTAATTAGAAACTTCAAGGTAATTGAAATACCAATGGAGCTGTAAATTTAGCATGCTTATAGTTAAATCAAGCGTCTCAATGAGACAAATCTAACGAGCCCAAGATTGATCAATTCTAGCAACACTAAGGCATTTAAATGTTAAATGAAATTTTATGATGAAAGGAATCAATACGGACCGTTCGATAAAGAGTTTCATTTTTTCTTTATATTTATGGGGCATGTTACTCTTAAAAATTTATAAATAGACCAACACTTTCTACATGAAAGAGGAGGAGCTTAGAGCTAGAGCCTAAACTTTGGCTTAGAGCTAGAGCTTAGATCATAGCCATTCGACCTTTGTTGCCCACTAATTATAATACTTTAGCCATCGTAGCTCAACTACGGTCTTCTGACCTCCATCACCATCTAATTACGATGCTTCAACCACTATCGTCAAACTACAGTTTTTAGATTACTGTCGCCTGGCTACGATCTTTCAACCTTCGTTACCTGTCTATAGCCTCTCACAACCATTGCACCACTATGGTCATTCGAACTGTTGTGATCATTCAAGCTATAGTTGCAGATTATAATCCTTTGACCTTCGTCACCCAACTACAATCTTTTGATCTTCATCACCAAATTACAATCCTCTAACCACCGTCACCCTACTGAGGTCCACCAACCTACAATATTTCGATCATTATTATAAGACTACTTCGACGTCTACTGACTTCATCACCTATATTTACTAATTATAAGTTCAAATATTGTTTGAACATAGTTAGAATAAAGTTTCGAATCTCTTTTTCTGAAGCTAAAAGTGAAAGCCGAGTTTTGAAACTTTAGTTTGAACTATGCTCGAGTATAGAATATTACAATTCAAAATTTGTTGTCTCAATTTCAATCTTTTCTTGTAATACACTTTTTGAACTTGCTAGATGTTTTTTTTTTTTTTCCCTAGCCTAATGGTTGACGCTTTTTTCAAACAGCATTTGAATTCATTTCCTTCCTTTGAGATAAGGCATCAAGAACTATAAGAGAGAGCATGAAAGGATATCTAAAATCTTCGAGTGGCAAGTAGTTATAGCTAACTTGAAGCCACCATGCTTACGATATTTTTATTTCTTATTTTAAGGAAACAACAAATCATAAAGCCTCGAATTTGCAATCTTACAATGAGCAAATTTCTAAATTATGGGAATATAGTTATTGTATAAAACAGAATGTAGTAGGAAAAAAACATTAATATCATAATATTATATAAAGATTCAACGTAGATATAGATAAAAGTGGAGTTATATGAGACATTAGACACTAATATATACTCGTATATGCATTTGTAGATATTTAACAGGCAGTTGGTGAATCATGATAGAGAAATTATCCTTGAGAAGAGCAGAGAAATTGTCCTTGAGAAGAGCCCACTGTTGGAACTTACCTAATTGTCCAAACGGTGCTACTTACCTTAAACTTGCAAGGAATTTACCTAAAGTGATCAATATTATGCGCTACTCACTCAGGCCTATCAAGGAACTCGCCCTCTGCGAGCTAGGTGAATCAGGGATTCTTCACAAGTTTAGCAACTCGTCATGTATATAGACCACCACCTCAATCACTTGCTCCTCGTCAAAGAAAACAAAGATGCTCACTCTCTCCCAAAGCTATCATCCTCACCCTCAGCTATAGGATATGATTGCAGTCAAGCAAAAACGATGGTCGGAAGATCATATTCAGGTGATGGTGGTCAATGGATCATAGTTGATGGTTGAAAGGTGAATGTTTGATAATGGTGGCCGATTAGTTAGTTGTGGCAGACAATAGTGGCCAAATGGCAGTAGTTAAATAGTATTGGTCTAACAATGGTGTTCATACAACACCGTGTTGATCCTCTTGATGCATTTAAGTGTCTTAATGATGTTGAAATTAAGCAATCTTGAGCTCATTATATTCAACTCGTTGAGCCACTCAATTTAACTATAAACATGCAATATTTAGATATCATTTCGTCATCCAATAAATATCCCAAAAATTTTGAATTATGCTTAAAATGTTTGATTTGAGTTCATTCAGAATCGAATCAAATTACTTGGTAATTAATATTGATGAATTCATCTCGTCGAGATATTGTTATACAATAAATTTGTTAAATTGAAATTTGAATGATCTTAAATTTAATAAAAAAAAATAATCAACATCCTCTAACTAGCTAATATCTACTAACTAGTGCTACCTCTCTCTCTTCTTACTCTTAATCCTTTTTTTTTTTTGGGTAAACCCGGGGCTGAAAAACAGCCCATGTATTAAAAAACAATAAGGTTACAAAGAACGCCAGCAAAAAACGGAAAATACAATGGCTAAAGCAAAGGAAAAAAAAAAAAAACTTCCAGCAAGCAAAACATAGAGCTTGATGGAGAAAATTACAATCAAATAGACTCAGAATATAAAATAGCCAACCCCCAAAAACTTCATTACATAGATGTCAGATTACTTAAGCTGATGCAGTTCTTCAGGTTGCCAGAATTCCAAAAAATGAACACACTTGAGACGGCCTTCACAGAAAGACCAGCAATCAGCAGATTAACGTCAAGCCCAGTTGCCAGCAAGACCGTCCAGGGGCTCAAACGGTGCGGGTGGCTATGCTCATCATCGTCAGATTGTAATTTTTCACCATCAATTGCCCTCAAAACAGAATAATGATCATCATAAATCTTCAGGAAGGGTCCATACATATGGGATAGCCACTGTCCCCAAAAAACATTACCAAGAGTAGTATGTAAATCTGTAATAACCAAAACTGGGGTAATGAAAAGAAAACCCCAAATGTATTTGTATACCCAGGTATCCCAAACCAATAGTAAGATGAAAAAAAGACTTTCAAACAACCAAAACCAGTAACAGAGAGCCACAGGCGGCAACCAATAGGCCAAAACTAAATTCCAGTGAATCTTGCCAGCAGC